TTTCTTCTTCATCTTCAAAATCATCAAATCTTCTTTGAGTTTGTTGTGTTTTTCTTTTCAATCAGTAGCTTCTAATACAAGGTAAATGTTCTTCTCTTTTCTATTTCAAAGGATAAGATTAGGGTTTAATAAAGAAGAAAATCATCATCATCTTGCTATTATATTTTTTTTATTTTTTTACATTATTTTATTCCGTTTGAACTTGAAATTAACTCAAAAGAGCACTTTTGATAAGTATAAAAAATATTTTGTGTCCATTCTTCAGCTGGGTTTAGTGAATTCAATTTAGTTGTTTCAGCCAACAACTTAAGTAGTTGTTTGGACAACTACAGAAGTTGATTATAGAAATAACTTTATATTTTTGTTAATACAGAAATTGTCCAACAACTTCCTGTAGTTGTCCGACGATTCAGAAGTTGTCCCAACAACTACTGCAGTTGTTAGACAATTGTGTTTAATTGTTGGTCAACTGATTAGTTGTAGGACAAATAATTTAATTATTGATCTATAATGTACCACTATTGCTCCTTTTCTGTTGATCCTATTCAGTTAATTTCTTACTATTTACTAACTTTTAACTATTTTAGTGTAGTTATAATGCTTCAATATAAGAGGAAGAGAACTGGAACATCTTCATCCAATCCAAATGCTAAAGAAAATGCTGAGAGCTTAACTGCTGCTAGAAAAAGAGGTACCACAACACTTCAAAGTATCGGTGGACAACCATCTGGAGAAGAAAAAAGTGATCAAAGTAGGGACGATCAATCTAGTGAAATGGAAAATAATAGTAAGAATAACAGTGACCTATCAGGTGAAGAAAAAAGTGATGAAAATAACAAGGAAAATTCAAGTGAAGAGAAAAAAGATGGTGAGAGTCATGGAGATGAATCAAGTAGTAAGGAACAAAGTGAAGAAAGTGAAAGTGAAAGTGAACAATCGGATGAAAAAGAAGAAGAAGGTATTGAATCCTCTCCAAATTATGTTAAAATCATTTCCAATGATAAGTATAAGTTTAAGACCCACTTGAGTGTGTCTGGGTCTTATGATTCAAAAATCAATGCGAGAGTTGGTTTTGGAGCTCAATTTGTTGAGTTTAGAAAGATTTTAATCGCACAAAAAATTGAAAATGATTTTAAAAAATCTTGTTTTGGTCACTTTTTGAAGTTGGATCAATCTGTAGCAGTACAACTTCCAATGAAGTTAGTACATGGCCTTTGTCTTCGTCGTATATTTTCTGAAAAGAATAAAGAGGTTTGGATTGATTATAATGGTTTGCCTCTTTGTTTTGGCATTAATGAATTGACTATTATGACTGGACTTCGATGTCATTCCCTACCTCCTCTAAGTCAACAATTAGCGAAAATTGGAAAAGAAGGTGAAATTTTGGTTGATCTGGTGGGTCAATCTGCAAATGCTGTTGTACTCATAGAAAAGATGAGTGGTCCATGCTTAACCAAAAAGCAAAAGCTTGCTATTAGTATGGTTTGATTTTTGCATTGTGTATTGTGTTCAAAAAGTGCAGAAAAGAAGATAGAAACTCATTGGCTAAAGATGGCGTCCAAAAAAAGTGTGTTCAATTCATATCCATGGGGTCAAGTTAGCTTTGATCTTACCATTAGCTTTCTTTTGAAAGAGCTAGATTCAACCAAATCTCAGTATAATCTTCATGGATGTCCGTGGGCGTTCGCCGTAAGTAATTAAATTGATGTTTTTATTTTATAATTTTTAGTTAAATTATTATTTGACTTTATTATCTATACTAAGCTATTTTTAATATTATATTGTAGGCTTGGGCGTTTGAAGCTATTCCGGCACTTCAACGATTGGCCAAGGATTCTTTACCTGAAAAATCAATTTCAAGAATGATTAAATGGATGGCTGGAACACCTGCTTACAAGACAAATATTGATCCTATTTATCAGAAAAAGAACAAGTAAGATTATATCTACATAATATTAGTAGTTGTGTTATGCAAAAGTTAAACAAGTAGTGTAATTATTGGACAACTGAACTTGTTGTTTCGTCAACTATTCAAGTTGTCCAACAACAGTAAAAGTTGTAAACATACAACTTAGCTATTATTGTACAACTAAATTAGTTATTTCAAAAATATTATATATCTACATAATATTAATTGTGTTATGCAATATTGAAATACTACTGTAATTATAAGACAACTAAACTTGTTTCCACAACTACTTTAGTTGTCCAACAACAATAAAAGTGATTTCCACCATCACATATTACTGAAGTTTTTAAATTATGAATAACTTTTTTTAAAAAAATGCAGATGCAAAATCAGGTTGTTCACCCTTTTCTTTTTCCAACAAACATAGAGAAGGAACAAATTTATGTTCAAGATATTGAGTCATATGAAGATAGTTCGGATCCAAAAATTGATGCTTTAAAAGAAGAGTTGGCACTTGTAACAACTATAAAATTGAATATAACTGTTGTTGAAGAAGGTCTTGAGATAATTGGTGGAGAGAATAGTGTTGCGAGAAATTATGGAGTTGAGAGAGACGGTGATGGCCAGATTGCTTTAGATACTTGTAGATCTTTTGGTGGAGTAGGAAGAGATGAATCATATTTAGCTGATCTTGGTAGGGGAGAAGATACCCCTGGTGTGATAAAAACAACAAATGTGAATGCCTTCAATATTGATTGTTGCTGTAAATGTGAAACATGTTGTGATAAGTATGAAACTCTTTTGAATGAAGTAAAATCTTTGTCAACAAAGTTAGATGGGCAGCAATCAAAGAGGACTATATATCCGAGCTATGCAAGAAAATCTCCTTATACTCCTGCATTAAAAATAAGGTTGGCCATGAATTCCAAAGCCAAAAATGCAATGAAGAGTAGATTGGAAGTGAATTTGTACAAACCTCTTGATGTGGAGAAAAGAGAGATCTTTAGTGTCTTCATTAGCAAAAAGGAAGAGGAAAGAAAAATGTATTTGAATGGTAGATTTAATTATCAGGACTTGGTGAGCATGACTGATCCATATTTTTTGTTCGAGTGCAAGGTAAATACTACTATATTTTTAATTTATACAATAATTTATTGATATTGAATTGACTCTCAACTTTATTTTGGCAGCATGTTGATGTGATCTTGTCCCTTATGCGCAAGAGACAGATTTGGTATCCCAAGCACTATGATTCAAGTTTATGATTGCAATATTCATATGTGTGATGAGCCGACTTTTCTTACATTGATTCAGCCCATTCTCGAATTGTGGCCCAAACTACTCAAGCAGAGCGGGATGTTCAATCATTTGTCTGAAATTTTTTTGAATGATGCATGGTCATATGAGCGTCTAAAGAATGTGCCAAGTAACAATTCTCGTGCGGCATGTGGACCATATGCCTGTGTTTTTATTGATCACTTGCTTACTGGGACAGATATGAGCTGCCTTAATGACAATGAGGTGGATAATTTTAGGATGAAATATGTTGTTGCTGTGCTTGAGAAGGAATTAATTCCTTGAGAGAGTAGTTGTGTACAAAGTTCATTTTTGTACTTCATTGACAAAACATTTGGATCAATAAAATTATTGTGTTAGTTTTTGATGTAATTATTTCAGTATTTTGTGTTTTTGTTATCAACTACTTTAATTGTCTCTACAACTGCTTCAATCGTCCCTGTAAGTGCTTCAGTTGTTCGTACAACTGGTTCAATTGTTCCTACAACTACTTCAATTGTTCGTACAACTGGTTCAATTGTTTCTACAACTAGTTTAGTTGTTCCTGCAACTGGTTTAGTTTTTCCTCCAATTCTTTAGTTGTTTTGCACAAAATTACGTAGTTTATACTTAATAATTCACAAAATAACTCGATCGATCTTTAATTTTTACTAAAGGACTTAGTTTATAGTTAATAATCCACAAAATAACTCGATCGATCTTTAATTTTTACTAAACGACTTAGTTTATACTTAATAATCCACAAAATAACTCGATCGATCTTTAATTTTTACTAAACGACTTAGTTTATACTTAAGAATTTACAAAATAACTCGATTGATCTTTAATTTTTACTAAACGACTTAGTTTATACTAATAATTCATAAAATAACTCGATCGATCTTCAATTATTGTTAAACGACTTAGTTTATACTTAATAATTCACAAAATAACTCGATCGATCTTCAATTATTGTTAAATTACTTAGTTTATACTTAATAATTCACAAAATAACTCGATTGATCTTTAATTTTTACTAAACGACTTAGTTTATACTAAAATTCACAAAATAACTCGATCGATCTTCAATTATTGTTAAACGACTTAGTTTATACTTAATAATTCACAAAATAACTCGATCGATCTTCAATTATTGTTAAATTACTTAGTTTATACTTAATAATTCACAAAATAACTCGATTGATCTTTAATTTTTACTAAACGACTTAGTTTATACTAATAATTCACAAAATAACTCAATCGATCTTCAATTATTGTTAAACGACTTAATTTATACTTAATAATTCACAAAATAACTCGATCGATCTTCAATTATTGTTAAATTACTTAGTTTATACTTAATAATTCACAAAATAACTCGATTGATCTTTAATTTTTACTAAACGACTTAGTTTATACTAATAATTCATAAAATAACTCGATCGATCTTCAATTATTGTTAAACGACTTAGTTTATACTTAATAATTCACAAAATAACTCTATTGATCTTCAATATCAATGCGAAGTAATCTTAATAATTATAAAAATTGTCCCAACAACTATTAGAGTTGTTAGACAACTATGCGAAGTTGTTGGACAACTGTGAGAAGACGTTGGACAATTAAAAAGTTGTTGGAAAAACTAAAGCAGTTGTTTAATAATGTGCAGTTAATTGAAAAACATGACCCCTTCAACTGTATCCGTTGTCCAACAACTTTTGAAGTTGTTGGTATACATCTAATAAAAATCTTAACTACATAATTGTTTGAACTAATCATAGCATCTGTAAATACATGTTATGCATACGATAATAACTCATGAAACTACACCATTACTTGTTCCTGCAACTTCATTCGATCTCGTAGGACATGAAGTTTTTTTGTGGCCAAATCTTTTACATAGAGAGCATTTATTTCTTTTCTTTGAAACCACTTCTCCTATAGTAGGTACTCGCTTCAGCCGCTTCCTTCCCAGTTTAGTTTTCTTTTCAGGTGGAGGTATTACTCTCTCTAAAATTTCCAGAGGAAGATTCCAAAATTCTTCAGCTGGCACTGGATAGATGGGATCTGCATATGCAAGTATATATGACTCTACCTTATAATACGGAGAAGAGTACTCATAAATCATCTTGCCATATTCATCTCCAAATTTGTGTCTGAGCGCAGCCATAGCATGTTGACAGGGTATTTTATCCAAGTCAAACTCTTGACACGAACATATTTTACTTCGAAGATGGACCATTGCGATTCCATTGTCCGCGGTGACGCTGAAGGTGTCTTCATCAATTTGATGGACCAATAATTTATTTCCCAGATTCTTATTAGCCATTATTTTAGTTTCAGCTGAAGGAATGAAAGTGGTTTTTAACTTGGCGTATGCCATTCTTCTCTCATGAAATTTTTTCGACCATCTCTTGCTTATATCATTGAACAAGGCAATAATGGGAAATTCTCTTGCTTCATTGAACATTGCATTAACAGACTCAGCAATATTTGAGGTCAATACATCATATCTGAAATATAAAAATTTAAAAATATCAAAAATTAAAATACAAACTATTGCAGATTTTTAATACCTATTGTAGTTTTGAAAACAACTGTTTTTAATGTCCCACAACTTCTGCAGCTGTTGAAACAATTATGAAAGTTGTCCAGCAATTATAATAATTGTTCCAACGATTATAATAATTGTCCCAACAATTACAATAATTGTTCGAACAACTATACTAATTATTCCAACAACTACAACAATTGTTAGAGACCTGCAATATTTATGTTTGAACTAGTAAGAAGTTTACCTGTTTCCTGGAAAATATGCTCTACTCCATTTGTGAAACCCAACATTCTCAAGATAATCAGCGACCTCCGCATTGATAATTCGGATTTGTTCAAAATGGTCATGGTACACATCTCTCCGATATGCTTTTGTTGCATGGTAATAATGTCCAAGAAAAGCTCCACAATGAAAATTTTTACGGGCATTTTCACCAAGATGCCTCGTGCAACATCCATGGTATGCTTCAGAGTAAAATTTTGATAGTGTTTTTTCTATGCTTGGATGCCTATCAGAAATAATGCACAACTCTGAAGTATCAGGGACTATGTCCAACAATTTCTCAAAAGAGTACTCATATGCGGCATCACATTCCTTATCTACTACACAAAATGCAACAAGAAGAACATGATTTTATGTATCCTGTGCGACAGCAGACAACAAAACTCCATCGTAACGACCTCTTAAGAATGTTCCATCAACGGCTAAAACTTTTCTCATATGCACAAACCCCCTAATCCAAGGTCCATAAGATGCAAAAAAATATTTGAACCTTCCCTTGTCATCAAGCTTTAACGATGTCTTGCTTCCTTCATTTATAGTCATAAGCATATGACGATAACCATCTAGAACTGCATATCCGTGCTCCGGTGTCCCTCTTATCATAGCCTTTACTATCTCACTGCTTTTCCAACACTTCCAGTAACTAATCTTGCTGCCCAAATCTGCTTGCACTATATTTTTTTATGTCTTTTGAGGAGGGACCTTTTCCATTCAAGTAATTAGGTTGTATGTATTCTGCAATGACATCTGCTGAGGCATGTGGATGATGACTTGTAAGGTGTTGTGCCCCACATGAGTGAATGTTGCGATACTTTGTAATTTCAAATCTATTACAACTTTTAAGTTTTGTAGCTCGCAACCACTAATCACAATTCTGATCTACACATCTAGCACAATACACCTCTTTAGAACTCTTCACAGATTTGAATCTTTGATCTTTCTTCACGGAAGCAAGCTTCAACAATTTAGTTAATTCTTGCTTATCCTTGAAAATTTTACCCTTATAAAAATTTGTGCCGTCATCATCTGTGTAGCGGCTACCTTGTGTTGATATCGGATGTAGTGAAGCTTCCTCATTTATAGGAATATCCATTGTAACAGGATGCTCTTCATCATTTACAACTGAATTTGTAGTCTCTATAATCTTCTCAACCACAGATATCCTTAAAATTGGCCTACTTTGATCATCCAAAAAAAATCGCAAATCAAGATCGTTTCTTATCCTAGAAGGAGCTCCTTTTTTGATTTTCAATAAAGCCAAGCATGTAACTAATAGAGAGATCATTTTTATCACAATCTAATTCAAACCTAGAAACAATGATGTCAACCAATTCATCGTACGTAACATTCTCGCTTATCTTTATCAGTACTGTCTCTCGGCCCTTCGAACACCAAGTATAACGAGTAGGATTCTCCACCCATTCACCATGTAAATCAACTCCTATTATTATATGGTCTTCCATAGAGGGAAACAATACCTGGAGACATCACAAGTAAGACATTCATCAAAGAACTGCAAAATTGCAAAAGAACATTGATTACTTGTTTTACATCTATTTAGTTACCTCACAACTATCAACAATTGGCATAAAAGTTTAGTAGCTTTGGAGACTGCTATAATTCTTCAATTATTTATTTCAACAATTAATACTTTGCCCACAATTATATTATTTGTCCTAAAAATTAATCCGTTGACCAACAACTGAACACAACTGTCAAACAACTGCAGTAGTTGTTGGGACAACTTCTATAATCGTCCGATAACTATAGACTGTTGTTAGACAATTTCTATATCTGACAGAGATGTTTATTTATTTCTACAAACAACTTCAGCAGTTGTCCAGACAACTACGAAAGTTGTTGGCTGAAATAATCAAATTAGATTTAATAAACCTAGCTGAAGAATGGACACAAAGGAATTTTTATACTTATCAATAATGCTCTTTTGAGTTAATTTCAAGATCAAACGTAACCAATGCAATGCAAAAAGTTCAAAAATTTTTGGTATCCATTTTCACAAAATTTTCTTGATAGATCTTCTCATAAACCACATATATGCTTACAAATTAAGAATGATGAGGATGAAGAAAAAGAAGAAGAAGGGAATTGACTTATACTTCAGCCTCGTTGAAGACTTGGTAGTTGTCCTTCAGGCTCGTTGTTGAAGACGCTGCAGGTGAGAAAAAAGTACCGCCTTTTTTCTTCTCATATATTTTAGTGAAATTTTAGGTATTTTGAGGTAAAAAATATAGGGTAAAAGTGTAAAAGTTAAAAGTTTGGGACTGTTGAGGAAATATTTTTTAATTTCATTAATATTAATTATATATTTCACTTCTACCTAATATTTAAAACTTGAAGGACTCCTACCTAATTAACAAACTACTTTATCACTTTTAATACACTTCCCCAGCTAAGACTAATAGAGCGACAAAGGCGGATGTCCGGAATGGGCATGTGTCCTTTTTGTTTTGTACTTGGTGGATTTGGATAATAAACCCAAAATGAGTTTGTACTTTTTTTTTTCTACTCCTGATTTATAAAACACTCCCAAAATTTGATTAAAAAGAAATAGGTTGTGTATGGAAAACGATATATGTCGAGGGCCTCAATTTATTTTGACTACAAAAATAGGGATTGTCTTTACTTACATGACTTAGAACTAAATTAATCATTTTTGCGAAATGTATTACTGACCATTTCAATCCTTCATTAGATCATGAAACTTACATAAATATGTTTGTATTAAGAAAATATTTATCATTTATAGCAATAGCATATTTTTTACTTGAGCACTTATAATACATTTTTAATACATATTACAAAGAACAATTTATAAAAGCATATAAATTTTATTGATAGATAATACATTTATCACACATTTATAATACATTGTCAATTTCTTACCAAATAAGTATAATATATTTTGAAACACTTATAATACATTTATATTCATGCATAATTTACTTTTAATACATATTGCAGATTTATCATAGTATTGTTATGCATGGCGATTATAAATAAAAAATATCAATAATTATTTTTCCTTTATATATTAAGGAACCAAAACCCATATATTAAGTATTTATTTATTTTTATTAGAAGTATGGTAACTATGTGAAAAAAGCAAAAATTAAATGTTAGATATGTAAGTGAATATATATATATATATAGTTGTGTGACATAGTCTTGACTTAACAAAAAAAAAGGAAGAGAAACAGATTTTTAGGTAATTTGTGGAAGGAAGACCAAAGTAAGAGTAACGGTGTTGTGGATATTTGGTTGTTTTGTTTTGACCATCTCCTCCTCTATTAACGAGTGTACCAAACCTTGAGGAGGAGAAGGAGAAGGAGAAGGTAAAGGAGAAGGGGATCAGAAGAATGCATCCGTTGAATGCAGTGGCAGTGGTTCGAATGGCAACGAGGAACGGGGCTGTCCCAGCTGGTCTGGGGGCAGAAATAGCATTTGGGACGGTGTCATGGTTTGTCTACGCTGGGATCTCATGTGTCTTAGTACTCTTTGCTGGAATTATGTCCGGATTAACATTGGGTCTCATGTCTTTGGGTCTCGTTGAACTTGAGATCCTTCAACGAAGTGGCACCCGCTCTGAGAAAGACCAAGCAGGTACGTATATATAAAATGAATTCATGAGATGTACATTTTTATATAAATAAATACTACTTTTTTTTATATTTTTCAGCTACAATCCTTCCTGTTGTTCAGAAGCAACATCAGCTTCTTGTCACACTACTTCTTTGTAATGCTGCTGCAATGGAGGTGAACTCTCTCTGTCTCATTCACTTTATGCTCTCTTAATATATAGTACTAATTTCTCGAATCTTTTTTTCTTTCAGGCCCTGCCTCTATACCTGGATAAGCTTTTCAACCAATATCTGGCCATTATACTATCAGTAACTTTCGTTTTGTTTTTTGGAGAGGTAAATTGCATGGAAATCTGGATTTCTCACCATTTAAAATCTATCTATATATATATGCTATAAATGTTTGTTTTTTCTCAGGTTATTCCTCAAGCAATATGCACAAGATATGGACTTGCAGTAGGTTCTAACTTTGTTTGGCTTGTTCGTATTTTGATGTTCCTTTGCTATCCTATTGCTTACCCCATCGGAAAGGTAATGAGTGCAGTATTTTAGAATTGAGTGGCCGGGGAGTTTATTAGAGTAAAATATGGTGTCCATGTTCATTGTGTGTTTGCAGATCCTAGACTGTGTATTGGGACATAATGAAGTACTATTTAGAAGAGCTCAGTTGAAGGCCCTTGTTTCAATCCACAGTCGAGAGGTTAGTGTGTGTGCGCGCGTATGTATTTTCCTTTGGGAAGCGATTATTTGTTAATAGCAAGTCTGTTTCAGGCTGGCAAGGGAGGTGATCTCACACATGATGAGACAACAATCATTAGTGGAGCACTCGATTTGACTGAGAAGGTACTCATATCAATATTCTCATTCTCCCACCTACATCCTCTCTCTCTCTCACACACCTTCTTCCTTTCTTCTCAAAATTGCTATTCATAGACTGCTGAGGAGGCTATGACACCCATCGAGTCAACATTTTCATTGGATGTCAATTCAAAGCTCGACTGGTACCTTTTTTTACATCTCAACATATATATGTTATTATGACTCAAGTTACACAAATTCTTTTTCTCATTGAAGGGAGGCAATGGGAAAAATTCTTGCACGGGGTCATAGTCGTGTTCCTGTCTACTCTGCAAATCCAAAGAATGTTATTGGACTTCTACTGGTGACCTCTGAATTCTCACCGTCACAGCAACTTTTAAATCTTATTTCCCTAACTATTCAATTTTCAAAATGATTTTAGGTAAAAAGTCTTCTTACTGTAAGGGCCGAGACAGAGACACCAGTTAGTGCAGTTTCTATTCGCAGAATTCCACGGTATTAATGTTTTGCATCTATATATATGAACTACAGTTATATATATATATATATATATATATCCTAACAGCATTGTATCGTCAGTGTTCCTGCTGATATGCCTCTATACGACATACTTAACGAGTTTCAAAAAGGTAGCAGTCATATGGCTGCAGTGGTGAAGGCAAAAGGGAAAAGCAAAAAGCCTCCCTCACAGAAACCTGAAGCCAACAGTGAAAGTTCTCTAGAAACTGCTCCTCTTCTTATGAAAAAGGACGGGAAGTCAGATAATGTGGTCGTTGATATTGACAAGGCTATACTGCCAGCAGTATATACATCAGGTGATGCAGTGACAAATAGTGTACTTCATTCATCAGATGATATTGAGGATGCTGAAGTAATCGGTATTATCACCTTGGAAGATGTATTTGAAGAACTGTTACAGGTAATTTTTTTAAAAAAATTCTAACTCTGTCACACACTTGGCTATAACAGATGGAACTTACATTTTAGAAACTTGTCACTGGTGCAGGAGGAAATTGTGGATGAGACGGATGAATATGTTGATGTACATAAGAGGTGCTTGAGAATCGGGAACCTTAGTTTAACCTGATCAGTATTATTGATGTTGAAGAGCAAATGTTAATGTTCTTTCCATTGTTTACAGGATACGTGTGGCTGCAGCAGCTGCTGCTTCATCAGTAGCACGAG